CCTGGAGGGGAGGGATGGAGGGGAGAGATCAAACCTCAGTAGGAGGCAAGTGTTGCTGATCTTCTGAAGTGAGGCTGGGGTCTGAAGAGGTTGAAAAACAGCTGCCCACAGTTAGTCCCCCACCTCCAGCACAGAGAAGCAACCCTTGGTGCTTCATGGGAAGGTGTGAGAGCCCTTTTACGGTCAGTAGAACAATATTTCATCTTAATCTGTAATAGCAATTTGCACAGAATCCTGAAGCACAAAGCGTGCAGCCTCATGCAGTTGGTGGCCCCAGAAGCAGCTCTGTGTAATGAGGTGTGCGGAGGAGCTGTGTCTTGCTATGGTCCCGTCTGTGAGTTTCAAACCTTCCACTGAGTGCTTTGTGTTAATTGTTCATTACATTACAAAAATATCACATTATGTTAGTTTTATTATGTTGTTTGTTAATACTGAATGCTTGTTCCCTTGCTCCAAGACAGAAAGGCCACCTGAGATGCTGTAGGGTATTTGTCTGACCTGCAGCTCCTGGTCCAGAATAACATCTTCCTTGCAGGCCCCATGCCATATCTGCTATAGGGATGTCTCTCTAAAGGTGTTTTTCATGTCTCATTCACTGAAGTGACAGGCTTTTTCCATCCATGGGCAAATGCAGAGAAACAGCATGCTTGCACCTGTGGCTTTCTAACCACCCAGCTATGGCACTCCTCTGAGAGAGTTTCACTGGGTTTCACATCTTGCAAATAAATAATGGAAAATGTTAAGTCTCCTGGGAGGAATCTAACCTACTGCTTCTTCTCTTTTCTTATTTGAATTTGTGTAATTGTAGCTTCCAGCTGTCACATGTTCAATGTTAAAGAGCTCCTTGCCACTGAAATAATTTCCATTTGCTTGCTTGTAGATTATGATAAACATACTCTTTCATTTCCAGTTTCATGAGCTAAATAGATTGGATTCTTGAGTCATTCCTTGTCCCATAAGTTTTCCAGACCTTGAATAATTGTTGGGGCTTTTCTGCATTTTGTCTAATTTTTCAAGTTGACTTTGAAAGGTGGATTTTCAGAAGAAGTCAGAAGTTCAGAAGTTGTCTTAGTATCAGTAGCAGTATCTCCACCTACTTCCTAGTGCTCTGCTTATATATGCCAAGATTCTTTTTGTTGATACAACCTGCTATATCTCATTCATTTAGCTACTTACCAGAGTCCCTAAGTGGCTACTTCTTTCTGAAACACCTCCTTCCATTAAAGGCAGCATCCATTCTTGGTTCCTTCGTTGATTCAAATATACGTAGTTCATCAAGTAATACAGATACCTTGGTAGAACAAGCTTGGATTTAATAATTTTTTCTGTCATTTGACAGTTTATCCAGATCTGAATTTTCTGTTTCTCCGGTTAATTGAAAGATAATGAATAATACTGGACTGAAACAATTTGCTATCTCACTCTGCTTTAGACAGCTTACCATGGCAGATCTCAAAAGCTACTGTGAATGGTGAGTTATCAAGTACTCTGTTCTGATCCATTTATATTTAGTGAATTGGCTGCTTCTAAAGCAATTCTTTGTGGGAATGGTGCCCAGGGACAGCCTTGGGCAGCTGTTTGTGCCACCTGGCAGGCTCCTGTCGGTGTTCTATCAACTGAGCATTTTAAACAGCCTCACAGACATCAAAAAGTGCAATTTAGTTTTGTGCAGGGGCAGTTCCAGACGACGAGGTAGCTCCTAAGAGCATCAGAGAAGGGAGGGGAACGACTCGCTCACCTTCCCAAAGGAAAGCACAGCGACCATTTGTCAGGGCGCTGGTTCACTCAGGCCTCCCCAGGACTTCTCACTTTTCCTTAAGGTAACGAGCTGCAGGATCAGTTTCCTGCTCCCGTCGGGACTGTAGCAGCAATGTAAGAACTTTAACACTGGTTTTGCTGAGAGTTGGTGTCAGTGTGGTCTTATTTCCTTAACGAACGCATCATTTTAAAATGAAATATACTTCTATAGAAAAAGCTAATCTAACTGATGCAAAATATTTATGAGAATTAGATTAAGTTAAAAAGAAGTGATGCAAATATATAACTTCCATGCCCATCATAAGTTAGTATAGTTAAATTAGAATTGTAGTTTAATATTTTGGCAAAGTCCCATTTCAATCTTACCGCCTCCATGTATCTGACACAAGTATGGAAATCGCCACACGTTCCCCAGACCAACGGCAAATCCGATACAGCTTAAAATATACTGGAACTTATTGTCCCACTTGGGTCTGCCATCTTCTTTAGGGATTTCAGGTGGCACTGATAAGTCTTTTGACATCTTAATGAAATATCCTTGCCCTCTTAGCCCCTTTCCCTGTATATAGGAAGATGCTTCAAAACCTGTCTCTCCTACAGGTTTTATGCGGGGTGACGGGAGGATCCCGGAAAAAAAGGTGGAGCTTTCTTTTTATGTGATGCAAAGGAACGTGTCACTGCCAAAGCTGCAGTTTAAAGACAAAACCAGGAATTGTTATTATATAGAGAGTTACCACTCTTGACTTTTTTGCAGCTCCTTCTATAGTTAGAGAACTTGGGAATATGTTGTTAATGGGTAACTCGGGATCAAACAGGTTTTTATTTTCTGTTCTCCTTCTGTTCTCAGATACTTTCAGAGAAGTGTGACCCTGAATATAATTAAAAAGAAACCTTTACAGCAGACATTAAAATTGTAAAATACTTGGAAACATCTGTGAATAAAGTGTTGCCATTTCCTTTCTTAATTTGTTAATAGAGGTAAATGAATGAAGACATCTTTTGCAAGTACAAAAAGTAAATTAAAAAACAGCAAGAAAAATTAGATTGTGTATGTTCAGACACTAGAGTTTGGTCCATTTTCATCATAGCTGCTAGAGGTTAATCACTTCTCTCCTGTCAATGAGTCCCAAGTGACTATTTTTATTGTTCATTAAATAGTTACTGATAAATGCAAGAGCTGAATGCGTTCCTTCAATTGAAAGTATGTGAGAATGTTTTTCTGTTGTCTTTCAGTTATACCAGGGGTTTGCTATTTTGCACGCCAAATCAGGTCACTAAACAGATCAGCCAGTCAGCTTGCTTGCTTCAGTAAATCCACACTTTTTGCCTGGGTTCCCCTTTTCGAAATGGGAAGAGTATCTAAGTGAAGATGGATTTTTTTTCCCCCAAAAACACTTGGAGAGAAATAAAAGCCCTGCTCTGCAGCTAAGCATACAAATATGGTCAGGTTGCAGATCATCCAACCAGAAGCCAATTTCACATCTAGGCTACACAAGTCTCCCCAGGTAAGCACAGTTCACCTGCTTGCAGCTCTGCAAACATCCAGATCCATAGGTGGAGCAACTCAACTTCCCAGTCCCTTATCAGGATGTCTCACGGGGCAGTCACGAGTCGACGCACGCGGTGTGGTTTGGCAGCACTTGCACAGCACCAGTGTTGCCAGGGCACCCACCACCATCGCCCCCGCTGCTGCTGCGTTTCAGATCAGGAGATGCCTTGTGCTGTGCTGGGGCCGTTCTAGCAACACACTGATTTCCATACCTGCCACCTGCAGCCGACCGCTTCAAACTGGGTTTTACTCATTCTC